TTAATTAAAATATTATTGTAGCCCATGGATCACAAGAAAGATCACATTAAAATTAGTCAGTTTATCAAGTTTTTGGTTGTTTCATTAGATTGCAACCATGTACATGTACATGTAGAAGCTTTCAAAATTCAGTAAAATTAGAGACTTTGTATGGATTTGGGTGACCTTTGACAGCTCACAGCTTGGTTACTATGCAATGTAACATAACCAAACTAAGTAAACTAACTCATTTTCAGGCGGTCTTTCTGGTGATGGGATTTAATATGACACAATTTGAACAATGGGTAAACTAGGGCCCAGTCCCTTTTTGAACTTCGGAATGGGCAATTGCTGATAAATGCCTTCAATACTCACCTATTTTGAAGTTATACTGTTCTGTAAGACTGTCAAACTTATACAAGTCATGTACAATAAAATTGATTATTGTCTTTGTTATTTTTGAATAGTTACCTTTCCCTGTGATTGGGTCACTTAATGGCGTTTGCATGTTTGCCAACAATCAAGATGTCTCTCTGCTGAACACAGTTACAGATGATGCCAAAGTTGTTTGGAAGGTCTTTAATGAAAGGTACACATGTACACAAAGTCGTGTATTTCAATATTGTTGTTGTTGTTGTGCTACACCAGGGACTCCGGCACTCCGGCCATCCCCTCCTGAGTATTTGTGACTGCACTTGAGGTGTCACAACTCCAATAAGTTTCTGCGTGGTGAATTTAGTAGCTGTCCTTCGGGTTTTCTCCATTGCACCATCTTCATGTTACGCCATGTTCATTGAGGCATTGAGATTCACTGCATGAAATGGTCTGTATATGGACCCTTCCTCAAGTCATACACAGCCAGTATACATATACGTATAAGGAAAATTTATAAGGATGTACATGTATAAGTTCTGTATAAGGATCAGTATATTTCAGGGTATGCTAACAAAAATGCCAGGATCTTATACACTTGTGGCAGGATTCATTATACGTCAGTACACATGTCAGTATACATTGTGTATACTGTTTGAAACATGAAGTATACTGAAGGTGCATGGAAGGTAGATATACGGATTGTTTGCAGTTGTGACAGGATTCCTTCTATGTCAGTACAGTGACCGTATACATTATGTATACTGTCTGAAATAGGAAGTATACTGAGGGTACATCGGAGATATATATACGGATTTTTACAGTTGTGGCAGGATTCCTTAATGTCACTGGGTAATACATTATGTATACTAGCAGTGCTCGAAATTAGCGGTCGTCCGGTCGTCCGAGATGACTAAAAAGTGTTTTGGGCAACCATTTTTCAGTAAAACTAAGGGCCCGGTCGTCAAAGAAAAAACCACCAGACAACCCAGGTATAAATCGATCGATAGTACTTACATTTCTGTGATGTCTAACAGAATAACGAAAAGAAGTTATTAATTTGATGCAGGAAAATAGCTCTAAATATAGCGGTAATCTTCAGGTAATAAATGGAAGCGACCAAGATTTTTAAAATCAACTGAATCAAGGTTTATACACGCAAGTAGCTCATGCAAGTGGCATTCACAGTTTCTGGGTTCAAATCGCCCTATAATGCATTGCAAGCTTAGTGAAAATCTTGAGTACATCATGTATGGGTTGTGTCTCTGGTTACTTGCAATTGTGTTTTGACTCACGTTAGCTACAAAGTTAGTGGCTGGAAAGTCTTAATTAATATGTAATTCATTTGTTTTAAAGCTTGTTTTGCAAAAATATTTTGTTTTGTTTTTATTTTCGCAACCATATAATGATTTTAGACACTTTTTAAAATTAAAACTAGTTTCGATTTGATTTTACAATTTGACAACTAAAAATTTGCATTTGGCGACTAGTAATTTTGAGCCCTGGACTCAGACATGTTATAAGTATTGAACCTTGACACTGAATAAAGTAAACAAGTTGTTACATACTAACTGAATTAATTAATGCACTTCAGAGAATTGTGAAAATTGAGTCAAAACCCATAATTAGGCAATAGGTCAGATAATATTTTAAGGACAACCAAGCAGTCATCAGGGCAACCAAAGTCAGGGGTTTGGTTGTCCGGCATTTGGCATAAGGACAACTTGGATGTTGTTTTAATTTTGAGCACTGTACTAGGAGAATCAAGAGGTATACTGAACTGAGGAAGAAAAATATACGGATTCTTATACTTCATGAATAATGATTGACCTCTGGTCGTAGAAATAAATTAGAATTTGTAGTAGTCGTTAACCCATAAATTCTAAGAAAACATTTCAACGTATATTTTAATGTTTGTGCACCGTGATAAATTTATAAAACTGCCTTCAATAGTCCTCCTCATAAACAAACACCATTGATTATGTTCCTCACTGTTATTTATTTCATATTATACTAACAACTAAGCGACCCTGTACGATCGGTCCGAGACATGATCAGTTACATGTTTTTTTAAATCTGCAGAACGTTAACATTACAATTATTGTTCTTGAAAAATGTGCCACTAAAAGGAAATAAAATTTAAAATTTTGTGATTTAATCAAAATCTAAATTGTCACTGGAAGAAGATAAATCGTCTTCGCCTTCTTCATCTTCTTCTTGTTCGTCGTCATCTTCATTGTTTCTGTAGAACGAGAATTTAAACAATTTAGCTATAATTATATGCCGATAATAAATGTATGTTTCGAATCTGTAACAGACATATTAAAGACTGGATTTTCTCAAGTATCACATTTCTTCAAATATTTAAAAGTTTTGGTTGATTCGGGGAGATTCGGGCTGATTCAGGGAAATTCGGGGAGATTCGGGGAGATTCGGATTGATTCGGATTGATTCGGGGAGATTTGGGTTGATTCGGATTGATTCAGGGAGATTCGGATTGATTCGGGGAGATTCAGGTTGTTTAGGGGAGATTCGGGTTGATTCGGGAAGATTCGGGAAGATTCGGGTTGATTCGGGGAGATTCGGATTGATTCGGGGAGATTCTGATTGATTCGGGAATATTCGGGTTGATTCGGGGAGATTTGGGTTGATTCGGGGAGATTCGGGAAGATTAGGGTTGATTCTGGGAGATTTGGGTTGATTCAGGGAGTTTCGGGGAGATTCGGGTTGATTCAGGAGATTTGGATTGATTCTGGGAGATTCGGGTTGATTCGGGTTGATTCTGGGAGATTCAGGTTGATTCGGGGAGATTCGGGGAGATTCGCGTTGATTCAGGGAGATTCGGGGAGATTTGGATTGATTCGGGGAGATTTGGGTTGATTCGGAGAGATTCAGGGAGATTCGGGTTGATTCAGGGAGATTCGGGTTGATTCGTGGAGATTCGGATTGATTCGGGGAGATTTGGGTTGATTCGGATTGATTCGGGGAGATTCGGATTGATTCAGGGAGATTCGGGTTGATTCGGGTTGATTCGGGTTATTTCGGGTTGTTTAGGGGAGATTCGGGTTGATTCGGGAAGATTCGGTTGATTCAGGGAGATTCTGGTTGATTCGGGGAGATTCGGGTTGATTCAGGGAGATTCTGGTTGATTCGGAGAGATTCGGGTTGATTCAGGGAGATTTGGGTTGATTCGGGGAGATTCAGGTTGATTCTGGGAGATTCGGGTTGATTCGGGGAGATTTGGGTTGATATGGATTGATTCAGGGAGATTCAGGTTCATTCGGGGAGATTTGGATTGATTTGGGGAGATTCGGATTGATTCGGGGAGATTCGGGTTGATTCAGGGAGATTCGGGTTGATTCGGGTTTGATTTGGGGAGATTCGGATTGATTCGGGGAGATTTTGGTTGATTTGGGGAGATTCAGGTTGATTCGGGGAGATTTGGGTTGATTCGGGGAGATTCGGGAAGATTTGGGTTGATTCGGGGAGATTTGGGTTGATTCGGGGAGTTTTGGGGAGATTCGGGTTGATTCAGGGAGATTCGGGTTGATTCGGGGAGATTCGGGAAGATTCGGGTTGATTCGGGGAGATTCGGGTTGATTCGGGGAGATTCAGATTGATTCGGGGAGATTCGGATTGATTAGGGGAGATTTGGGTTGATTCGGAGAGATTCGGGTTGATTCTGGGAGATTCAGGTTGATTCGGGGAGATTCAGGAAGATTTGGGTTGATTCGGCAAGATTTGGGTTGATTCGGGGAGATTCGGGTTGATTTGGGTAGATCCAGGTTGATTCGGCGAGATTCGGGTTGATTCGGGGAGATTCAGGTTGATTCGGGGAGATTCCGGTTGATTCAGATTGATTCGGGGAGATTCGGGGAGATTCGGGAAGATTCGCGTTGATTCGGGGAGAT